ATTGGTTGTGCTGCCGTTGGCTCTGTCGTGTGCAACTGTCAATTTGGCGTTATTCTATTTATCAGTCGATGCAACCTTGAATTTGCTACTCATTGGAAACCTTCATTCGGATTAGAGATACATCAGTTTCCACCTCATTATCAACAAGTCAATTTCATAAAAGTGGACCAAAATTGTGATGGATAAACAAACTCAAGCTTATTGGTTGGCACGCTGTTCTCAGTCGCACAATACCACAGAAAATGACGGTCCCTGCAATGTACAGTACGGATATTCCGCAAGCCGTTTGGAAAGATGCCGTTCTTTGCCTATATTCTGGACTCTTGAATTCACAAGATTGCCTGTGTAGTGTGAATCCGAGAGTTTTTGTTAAAATAAACCTACTGGGGACAAGCTCATTCCTCTAGAGAATTTTGAGTGCCTTCGTTAAGACAAGAAAGTATGCAGAAATGGAATGGGTAGCAGTGTAACTAACTACATCAATTCCGATTTGTCCAGCAAATCTCGAATTACTTTTTCGTTCTCTTGTAATGGTATTGACTGTGTCATTAGTAAAGGTCATCCGAAATTCCCTTTTTTCCGAGGTTTGGTGATCAGTAACTTGCGTGTAGCTCCCTTGTGCTCCCAGAGAGACAGGTTTTCGATGCTTCTATATCCTTTTTAGTTCTATTACTTTTTGAGTGTCTATACTCTGTTGTCGGAGATTTTAATCACTCAACCGCTTATCCCCTACTCGCTTTGGTTTGAGTAAGCTATGCATTATACCAATCAGAAGCAACATTGTTTCGCACAGAGTGATGACAAACTATCCCGAACTTCTCCTTATACAGTTGAAAACTGTTTCAACGAGCGATCATGCTCCTATTAGTTATATACCCATAATTTGCTCACGTTCTATTAACTCTTTATTCTTGAGGATGAAATAAATAAAAGTGTCCACCAGGAATTTTCACCCTCAAAAGGTTTTCCTTCTAAAAGACTTCTTTTTGCAGTGATTTCGTGGTTCTCATTTGAAGGCTCTCTTCACCCATGAAGTTGTTCACGATGACACTGAATGCAATATTCAGCTTGTGTTGTCCCATGAAAGAAGCATTTTTAATTGCGGCAGGATGGCTTCTCCGTTGGTAAAATCCCCGGAGAGACAAACAGAACAAGCCTACATGCATCGTGACCAGACTTCTTCAAAACGTCATTTCATCCTGGTTAAACAGCGAATACAACGGTTGAATTGATCTTTTGTCAACCGGCTTTGAGTATCGCAAGCAGTAAAATTCTTTGACAGGGAATCCAGCTTCTATGATGTCAGCGGGTTTGGTCAATTAAATCTGAATGTTGCATTTACCAACTCATTCAAGGACATCCTATGATCCTATGCCTTTTGTGCTCCTTCCGAAGATGAAACTTTCTTCGGAAGTACTTCGGATTATAAAATCTCAGAAGTTTCTTCTACTGTTTACTCAGATGGCACATCCTTCTCCCTTCTCATTTATGGAGCAAGTCGGCTAACGAAAACAGTTTATTTACTTATCAAGGCATACGTTAATAAAGGTGCCGGGTTAGCCTCCTGGAAATGTGTAAATTTTGTGCCTGCTCACAGATACTCCGCTGCTGGCATTTTTCCGAAGCTTTTTCATACCATAACCGTAATTTACTGTACACTGAAGTTGATTGAGAGCGCTATCCTTTCCCGATTACGTTTCTGTTTTGTTAATCCAAATGACCCTCGTCATTTCGTATACGAGTTCAACACGTGCACCATGGACGCAGTTGATTCAGTTACCCATTTCAGTCCCAGAAGTCTAAACTGTTCTGTAAAATCAGCACGTTGTGACTTTCTCGAATACTCCTCTGCCTTCTTCTCGATCCTCTGTTCCCTCCTTATCCGAAAACTGGAGTCTTTTGGCTGTCCTGCTTCTCTGTTCTCGTGGTTAAGGGATTAATTTTCCAGAAGAATCTAGCGTACCAAATATGGAAGCACTTTCTAAAGTCCTGTAACGAACAATGCCTGTGTTCTTCAGGGTGAGGTTTTTCCTGTTCCCATCTTTTCACTACATATATTAGCAAATTATCCACGACTCATTCTGCTCAATTTCTTAAGTATGACGAGGTCATTCTTTGTCAGTTTATCTTCCATGAACCTGACTTCTTCCCATTTTCTAGGAAAGTACATAGTGCGCAAAACTTTTCTTCTCTTCCTCGCCTAAATATAAGCACTTCCCAATGTTTTGAATGCAAACTGACACTTTATCGGTCTGCTTTTCCCATCGAATAATCCGTCAGTCACTATTTCCCCATTTCTGGAGCTCAATCAGTCAAGTACTTACGTGTCACCATAAGCAGCAGTTTAACGTGTACTTCCCATATTCTAGACAGTGTGAAGAAATTGTGTCCACTCTCTGCGAATCCGCTGACTAAGGAAATTAGGTGCCAACCAAGCTGTCATCATCTCATTTATCCACCAATGTATTCTGTCAATCTTACCTAACCGCTCTGCTGTAGTATTTCGCGGCCTACTCAAGAAGTATTTTCACTCACTACACCGTGGACTGGCTATTATCAGTCGCTTTTTGTTGATTCCCATTGCCCCTCTCATCGACGAAATATGTGACCTACATATCTTTGTCTGTAAAAATTCTTCATGAAGATTCTTGTGGACCGCAACCTCTCTGCCATGACCTGTCTGTGTGCCTTTTACATTCGTCTGCAATTTCCAAGTTCTGACTTATCTCATCCCTCCAAACTTTTGTCGCAACTCTACAGTGCCTTATTTACCACATGCTCTTGTAATCAAAGTGAACATTGCAGCGGAAGCTCACAACAATATCCTCCGTGGTTGAACCTGATTCTAGTTTGTCAGCTGTTCTGCCATTTTTTGAGATTCTTAGAATTTGATATTTATCACTTTTGTTCCTTTTTATGACTGAATTTTGATTTCCTAATTTACAGAATTCCTCAGTGCACAATACACAGTACAATAAAACAACCATGATTATTACCATTAGACCTCCAGGATAATTTTTTTGTACAATTTTCAAAGCTTCCGCGATTGATTTTCACAGTGCAATACCTTATAGATACTCCTTATTACACACGGAGAGCCCTATTCACCTACTTAATAAGATCGCAAACTTTGTATTCATCTAACGACAGAAAAATGTCTGCAGTAGACTTTGACGTACAGATGCGTTGGACATCCTTTTCACAAATCATAAAGTTTAAAACTGGCTCCCCACACATATTTCCATTTCAAGTAGACGCCATAAATGATTTTCCAATATTTCATTTGGTTGACAATAAATTAAAAAAGAGACAACATATTCCCAACAAGGTTTTGAGGTGATGTTCGTTTGCAGACAAAAGAATTTCCGTTTAACTGTGAAGTAAGAAATGACGTCATAAGCCGATGTGGTGTTTTGAGAGGAAATCAGAATTTCGTGGTTAACTGCCAGTGGGCTATGATGACTGCTGGACTGAATTTGCCGATCATATTTCCCCGGTTTCATGCACATTTAGCGGATTGGTTACGTAAGTTCGCACACCCTTACCGGCTTTGCCCCATTTGCGGATCGAATCTATTCTGCATTCATAAACAGGTCGTAGCACTGCTATGCATCAGCTTGTGACTGGTTGTTTCTGTCATGTTGGCATTGTTTACAGTGGAATACCACTTCTGACTAACAGACTTTTCTGGGTATAACCCTGATATCCACATCTTCTGCGTGTTGATCCGTGACTCGAGTGCAATACTGTCCAATTTCTGATGTTCATGTTACGAGGCGCTGATAATTCGTACTCAATACAGTCCGTTATCAGCACGGCTTCTGTCACGAGAGTACATAACATATGAGGGTCCTCTTTCACGCTTGAAATATTGAGTATGCTTTACCTTTACTTTCTGAGAATGACCACCTTAGTGATATATCTTACATTCTAGGATATGTACCCTCGAGGCATAGTTTCGTCGCAGTAGGCATTAGACTTACCGTGGCAAAAAGCTTCACGAAGTACTTTCGAACCCACTCAAACTAATTTTTATGAGGTGGAGACCAGTTACTAGCTCTCCTGCCACTCTATGAGGTTCCATATTCAGCATTTTGTGGAGCATTTGGAATCATCTATTTTTCGTCAAATCTCTGAATAAAGTAGTCAGAATCATAGGTGGGCACAAAGTATCCCGATCCATTTACATATATTTTCACATGTGCACGCTGCCGTCAAAGTGATTTTTAAATACTCCGTAAAATAAGCTCCGGTAACTTGTGGTTCATTTCAACCTATCCTTATTTTCCAGTGGTGATAATACGGACCATAGACAAACAACTTTGGTCGCCTACTTCAAGTTTACAGATGCGGCGAAATGTTTCAGGATCCATTGCTCAGAACTCTGTTTCTGATGTACAAATGAATGCAACATGGATGGTCAGTATCGGTATCATAAAACCCACCGAAAATTCACTGGTGGAATGGAATGTCCAAGGCTTTTTCAGAATACCACTGAGTGATTAGGAACGCTATTCAAAAGCATCCAAGTCTGATTGTTCAGTTCAAAAGTGCAGTTCAATAGATTCAATTTCTTTTAAACTTCTTTTGGTAATTCGTTGAAATCTTTAACGTGATATCAAGAGTCAGCCCAATAGGTGTGCATTAACTCTTACTCTGAAGTAGATACTGAAGTAATGTGAACCATCTGAACCTCTGGTACTTGAGATCAATCTCAACAACAGAATGATCGGAACAGCTTGTCAAAATTATAGATCCAGTAACTTACGAACAATAATTACAAACGGTGTGTTGTGGGAAAAACCAGCTGACTTCAATTCATACTTCTGGCAAATTTCTAGTACACGTGACCTTTATCTCGTTTGATCTTATTGAATCATTCCGAGCAGATCATGTGATTCAAGCCACAAAAAGTAACAGTTATGGTGCATATAAAAGCTTGAGTTTACTACTTTGAAAAAATTCATTTGAGTGACAGACTATTACCTTACGAAAGAACCATGTCTCGGAATCTCCAAAAGCAAACATTTAATCAGGAGTGTCTGGAAGCACACAATCGGTGAGTTCTGTCATCCAGATTGCGCTTGATATTCTGCCAAAACAATGGTCACTCAAACATTCATAGATGCTTTTCAAATGTGATTTATCCCAATGTTCACGAAGTACGCCTGGGTCCTTGAGACAGGACCTCTCTAGGGAATACATACACTGACTGGTGACTGTTAGCCTCCATGATGTCTTACATTTACTTTTATTCAGACGAATATATATATTTTCTCAGAGTTCAAAAAGAGTCAGTTATCTCGTAGTACGTGTTTCGTATCTTCAGTGTTTAACTATGAAATCCCCCGTTGGAATAGAACTCGACCAGTTATGTGCAGAATGTTTCTTATACTACGGAAATAACATGGAACCATAGCATTTCTGGCTACTTCAGTAACATATTCGGAGTTTTATTTAGTTGTTTTACTTACTCCAGGAGAAGCATCTACTAAACGGTACAGGCCTTTTGAGTTTTCAAAACCTTTTTTTTAGGGGACCTGTTAAGTAGATGAGATGAACTTAGAAGGCTGTTTTCTAAATATGCACCACTAATGAGCTCTAACAAGAGCGAAACTCGAGTCTGGTGCTTCCTAGTGCGGGTTGGTCGGATGACCTGACGTTGGTGCGTGAAAGGTGGAGTCCGAAGGGCACCCCGCTGAACTATAAATAGGTTTTCGGAAAGTGGTAAACTGTACTATGGTTTAGATCAAAACACGTTGTGTGGGCAAACATGCTTCTGGTGATTCGTTTCGAACAGTTACAATCACGTTTATTTATCATGAGATAAGGGTGAAGGGTAAGAGGGTAGTCAGTAGGTTTATCAATCGTCTTGTCATTCAGTCGGTTAGTCGACCAGTAGATTGATTGATGAACTGGAAGCTGTGGTGATTGTCGTTGTGTAAACAGTTAGTGACCTGGATGGACAAAGAGTTCGCGGATGGCGTCACCAGTCTTTGGCCAGGGAAGCTCAAGGGCCCGCATGAACTTTCTTTGCGAGCATAGCTGAAGCATAGGGACTCGTATACTAATTGCTTCTGCGATCACTAGCGTTCTGCATCTGATCGCTTTAGATTCGTTAGGTGGCGATCGATAGACCACACGGAGCGCGTTTTCCACTCTCATCCAATGATCTGATTCTAGTAAGTGGGCATTACCTGAGGTGAAAACAGTGCCGTCCACCCAGCGTGAATGGTGCTGCTTGATGTGTTTCGATAAATGTCTCGGTTTATCAACCAATTGATTGGCCCATTAATCGGTCGAATTAAAAGGCGGCTGATAGACCAACCGACTTCCCTCTACCCTCCTCTTTTTTCTTACGACGAATAAAAGTGATTGTAATGGCTTGAAAGAGAACTAACGAAGTCATATTCGCTTACACTACGAGTGTTTGATCAAACTGGGTTGTTTAACGCTCGAATTCACCAGTTGTCAAGTGGGCTTCCAATTATGTATGCTCCGGATGAGACTCAACTGGTGTACAGGCGGTTTCCTAACAAACATACGTATCCCACCATTGTCACTCATTTGTCACAGGCGTTTCATCACCAGATGAAATGAAACTATCAATTCATACTACTTGGGTGATTAATTCAAATGACCTTGAGGCTCAGGGAACAGTTGATATTTAGCAAGGCAGTCCGTCGGTGATACCTTTGAATAAACTGCACAAAATACAGATAGTCATGATTTGAACTTTTGTGACAGTGTTAAACGTGTCATTGGTGGAAAATTTGCTGTCTGGTTTTCGAGTTAAAATGATAATTGAATAACATCACGATTTCTGAAAATTACTAGCCGTTCAAGTGCTCTTGTCGGATACCTGTTCGGAGGATTGATCATCATTGTTCCACGAACAGCGAAAACTACTCTGTGTATCTTGAGTAAACGGAAAAAGCCCTTGATTAACATCAGAAAACAAGGCGTAGGCGAACATATGTTTTCGGTGATTTCATTCTCAAGCCAATTACAATCACATTTATATGAACCCAATTAAGGGAAGGAAGATGACAAATTTAATCTGTTAGTCAATCAGTCCGTCAGTCTCTCGATTGGTTAGCCGGCTCATCGATAGATGAACAGGGGACATGGTGAAATCACGTGTCGTCGTCAGAGACTTGGGTCGGCATCACATTCGAGCATGACGTCATTGACCTTCGGCCACGGAAGTTCAAGTGCTTGGACCAGCTTCTTTTGTGAACAAAGCTTGGGCGGCAATAGCCGGATGCTGATTGCCTCAGCCGTCGCAAGTGTCCTATATCTGACTGATTTTGACTCGTTCGGTTGAACCCTGTATAGGACACTGAATGATGTAGCCGGATCAGCCTTGTGGCCTGTGTCTAACAGATGGGCGAGAATGGAGCTCGATACAGCCCCTCTTCCTCCATGTTGAAGCCATCGTGGTTGATGCTCTTTAATGCGTTTGGATAAATGCCTCGTCGTTCGACCCACATAAGTGGCACCACAAGTGCACTTGAATTAATTCAGTTCATATAAATGTGATTGTAATTGGCTTGAGAATGAAATCACCGAAAACATATGTTCGCCTACGCCTTGTACTCTGTGTATTGCTCGCACTCACTCCCGTGGATGACAAGTCATCAACTCTAACTTACATTTACAAACTGACATTTCACAGCTGACTAGAAGCAAGACCGTAGATAATAACGTTGATTTCTGCACAAGGCTCTCCTAGAATTGTGCTCAGTTCAGCCAAAGACCAGGTGTCAGAACTTTCGTCTGTTCAGACATGAAGTGGGACTGCAATACGATCAGCGTCATTATTCAACAAATCGAATTCTCGGGCAAGAGTTGTAGACTACGAGGAAATTCATAATGGCTGTTATCTGGTATCAGACACGCCACTTGCAACTAGTTGACAAGCAAAATTTCTGGAAAATGTCAAAAGATAAAACCGTGGTATGGATGTCAAACTTTTGCCTTGATTGTTGAAACATGAACTTGTTTTGTTCTTTTTTTGGTGTTATCTGTTGAGTGAACCTGTGTCCATTTATTTTCGTAAGTGTTAATCGGAAAACACAAATGTTGAAAACATCATTTTGGCCTTAATCCCTACAGTGTGACACTCACATATTGGTCTCGTTCAAACCATCCAAAAGTTGTGTTGGCACAAATATACTGTGTATCATCAGTACAATATAAATAGTGATAAGTCAACTGAAACACTACAAACAGTAACTATACAATCTCAACCGTGAGTGAATGGCAAACTGTGAACAAAGATGATAAATGTCACCAGTCCTAGTTGTGTTGTTCCTTTAACACTTTACGCTCTTTTCAAAAATTATTCTCTGTGCAGATATCTCACGCAGATTTCGGTAATGCAGAATAATTCACATTTTCTCGCTAATCTGTTTGTTCTACTCTATCCCACTAATTCTAGTCAACAGATTTTCTGCTTTCGAATCATTTCAGTTCATTAGCACAGAACATGTTTTTTATATGGAGAAAAACCGTCACTGTTACCAATCATTGCGACGCAAACTAACTGGCTCATACGTGCATCCAGTGACCTGTCTTCTGATTGGTTTTTTGGTGGTACAACCAGCTAATACTGGTCGAAAATCCTTTCTCGTCTTATCCATCCGCTGCCGCATTGCATTTGAATTCGTTGGCTCAAGCTTTGATCTGGGTTCTGGAAGGGCACTGACGGGCTGACTGCTAAGGTGACTCAGCTGTCTATCGAAGATAAATCAGACCATCTCTTCACTCTGTTAGCTACTGATGAGCCTTTGAAAAGACAAATCAATCCATTTAGATGTTCTCATTAGGCCAGGTTGCCTTTGCGTAGAGAACTTCATTGATGGTAGACCGGTTTAAGGGCGACGTGCCTTTATGTCGCCTCAGAAGATGTTCCAGCAGTTTGGAACAATCGATTAGCTGTGGTTAGAGAATTGTCATCGTGACTTTTGGACAATTACGACCGGAGTTTGAGTCCGCTAACCCCAATCACATCCCGTTCGGTAGTTTTCCGTTGGCGGTAGCCCCCTTCCTTAATTGTTGCATTTCTTTATAGAATGGATGAAAAAGGAAATAGGAAGAATACCTAAGTACTGCATCATATTGCACTAATTTCGAGAGGATCGTTAAATCTAAGCTGATCTCAAAGTCGGACGATAAGAAGGAACTTGGAGGTATTCATGAAGGTAACTTGAAGTTTGCTGTTTGCGCTTCAGTTCTCACAACTTTTGGAACAACTTCAAAGATCTTCACTTGTTCAACTTTGAGGGAATCCCGGAGAACAGCCTTGGCTTTCCACACTCTGCAAACTCCCTGTGGCAAAAACATTTTGAGGCAATTCAAAGTTTTACTTGGCTTTTCTGTCTCGATTGATAGGCCCATGAAACCAAGCTCTAACAGAAGACATGTAGCTTACTGACATTTTCCGGAAACACCGGGTTTGAAAAAGCCCATTTGAATGAATGAAAGTGCGTAACTACCGCTTAGTCTCTGCAATTTCACCGCAGTCTTTTAAACCTGGGCTACTTATGAGTAGCCCCTACCGAACAAAGCTATTTTTCACAAACATAGGTATATATATATATATATATATATATATATATATATATATATTGTTTACAAATTTTAATTAGTACTCGTTTAAACAGATATTTTTACATTTTTGTATCGGTACGTAGAACAACGGAATGAGGAATGCTCCTGAAAAAATCCGATTAGATGGGTCGTAAGGAGCATTCTACTTTGGTTTTCACTTTGCGGTAAAAAGGCTGTTTTATTAAATTATTCCTTACACTATTTAGTCTTCGTGCTTTGCATGGAAGTAAGGAACTAACTCTGGACCCGCGACTGTCTGAAGAGGCACAGAAGTGGGCTGATAATTTGGCCGCCAAAGGGTCTCTGGAGCACAGCAAATGCAATGGATACGGTGAAAACTTGGCTTTCCGAGGGACTTCTGGTTCCGCGGAATTAACAGGTCAGTTTGGTAACAAATTATTCAGTCAAGGCTATGGTTTTCCTTGAAAATTATTGAACTCAAATGTGACTCGATGTAAACTAAGTTTACATGCAGCATCAGCAGCTCAAGCGTGGTGAACTCTTGGATGATGTTGATGCATTTATGCTATCGATTTTCCACTTCAAAACCGACCGAGTTCCATGTTTGGTGTTAAAAAATTGTTGCTATATTTGGTTGAACAATTTCTGTGAAGATGGGACGACCAAGAATGGTGATCATATGAGTAACTTTGTCCTTCAAGTTATCGCACGTTGTCAAATATCTCTCATGACCAGTAGCGAAGTGTAAGCTATTAGCTGGCTGAGTGATATAACATTTCACGAAAACAGATAGAAAACATAAATTTCGAGATGCAAGCGTTTCTTTTAATCTTCTCAATCGCTTACGTAAAACATGCGAATTCGTGTTCGAATGGAGCACAGAGCAAAACAATGGAATGGATAGTGTCAAGCGAAATTAGGAAACCATTCGGTAAACCTGATTGGTTACCGCCACGGCAGGCACACATTGTGGGTCAAAAGTTTCTGTGCCCACAGTGGGGGCCTAAGTCTACTTATCAACACAGCCTCACAAAAAGCTAGAAGCTTTGGGTTCCGATTCCCTGCGATCACTCGGACCGCCTGACCCGGATCAATCCGATGACGAAAGGTCACAAGGTGTTTCGCGATCGATGAAGCAGGGTTTCTAGCCATCGTCTGTTGTCCGGGTGGAGGATGACTCATCCACTGCACTAATCACTTCGGTACATGCTCTCCCATTCTTTCACTGAGGCAACGATCCGTTCTGCCTATGTAGGTGTCACCGCAGCTGCAGGTGAACTGATAAATGACGTGAGAGACATTCAGGTTCGCGACACTGTTTGAGTGTGCTTGGAGGTTTAGTCATTTGGTGGTTTGTGAAATCTGCAATTCAGCCGCCAGGTGGGTGCGCTTTAGTGCACACTTTAGATTTTGGCTAATCCGATTGAACAGATGATCCCCTTTAAATGGCAACACCAGAGTAACTCGTTTTTTTTTCGACCGTGTCGACTTGTACGGTCTTAGGTCTTTCTCTCTAGTAGATCTCAATGAACTTATCGGGGTATCCATTGGCACAGAGAGTTTAGGATAAGAACTTTTCTTCCTTTTGCAATTGGTCTACACTGCAGATTTTACGCGCCCTGTGGAACAGGGTTTTGACCAAGCCCCATTTGTAGGCAACTGGAGCGAAACTGGAGAACTGAATATATTTTCCACTCCATGTTGCTTTACGATGGATAGTCTTCTGAATTGTCCCATCTGCACGTTTTTTATCATGATATCCAAAAAAGCAAGGCTGCTACCACTCTCTGTTTCACATGTGACTGATAGATTGGGATGCATGGTGTTCATTAGGTTGAAGAACTTAGTAACATTGTCTAGCCAGCTACGGAAATCGGCTGAAACGTGTCCAGTTTTATTTGGGGCTAATGTGGATGTCTGAGGTTCATTTAATCACTATTTGTCCTACTAAATGTCAAACGGAAATGTCTCCAATTCTATTTGCACTCATGCAATGGTATCCCCAACAGGTGCAGAAGCTGCTGATCAGTGGTATCAAGAAATCAAGAACCACAATTTCAATGAAAATGATTTTCAGCCAAATTCAGGTAAGACTGAAGATCATGTTCATATAGTTCCTGTGATTTTAGTGGTTCCTAATGCTTAGATTTGTCACTGAAATTTCATCTACGATCTATTACTTTCAAATACTTCAAATAACTCACCGGTCCCAGTGAAATGGTGCTACGGATTTTGTATACTGATTTGGCGAACCCGGAGTCGATGCAACACTATTCACAATTTAAATTAATGTATTTCAAAACCAAAGGCATGCTCTTGACTTGGAAGCAAAATTTTGGCCCCGTGGGCAAGCCCTCGTAGTGATATTTTCGACTTTCAGCTAGGGCTAGCCAGTACCCTTATTAAACTTGGCCGAAAAGAAGTGATACGGCGCGCGGGTTATCGAGTCTGTTCGCTCGTTTAGAAGTCACCAAAATCAGTCAAATGTAACGACAATGCTTATATGCATACCAACAGTCTAGTTCACTCTAAGACAGTTAGCCTCCAGACAAGGAATGCAGTCGCATGATTTATATGCTTTTGTTCACCTTACTGCTTTTTATCTCTTTGACTTATTCGTCTTCGTTATCAATCCACAGCTGCCCATCATTGCCTTCTGAGCAATCATCTACTTGCCTACTCAATAAGTAGTAGTAGAGTAGTGACAGACATCACCGCTGAACCAGCTGCATCGTATTGGAGATTTCACAAGAAGCGAGCGAAGCTGGGAATGGTGGAAGCTACGCTTAGAAAACCACGAACTGTTTCACGGCAGCCAGAAATTGACTGAATTTGTGGGACATGTGGACATTAATAGTGGCTCAACGGCTTAAAGATAGTGCATGCAGGACAGAGTTCATTTCAGAGCTGAATTTTCCAAGTTCGTCTTAATTAGTGATAAACCCACAAAACCATATGAATTTAAACCAGTTGGACTACTTACGTAATTTGGAGTAAGTAGACTTAACTGATGCACTTCCATTATCATTTCAATGAGCGTTAGCTCTGTGCACATTTTCAAATGGCAGTTTTACTATGAACTTTGAATACTGGGTATCGTTTTAATAAAGATAATTTTGTCTTCATAGGCTTCACTTTCCTGTGCATAAGGAGAAGCTTGTTTTTCAGTTCGAAATAACTATTCCCGGTTTCGTTTACAGGACACTTCAGTCAATTATTGTGGAACGAGTCAAGTCGATGCGGTTTCGGAAAATCTTATTCACCCGACCGGAAAAATATCTACGTCGTCGGAAGATATCAACCTCCGGGAAACACTGACGGGGATTATTCGAAAAACGTCTTACCTCAAGGGAAGAATCAGCCACCAGGTGAATGAGGTCAGCCGTGATGCTGACGGCCATTGAGAGCGTTTATGTTTTTCTTGTGGATTGCGAAAACTAGCCCGTACGAAAACTACGATTTATTACATTCAACTGCACAGATATGAATTGTCGGCAAATTTGGACGGAAGGTTGAAAATGATAGGGAAGCCGTTATTTTAATCTTTCAAATAGTTATTCTAACTTTTTTGATGCGAAACCATGAATTTAATGAAAATGGGCGTGTATTGTCAGCAGAAGGTAATTGGTCAGACTTTTGCTTAAACAGAAGACCGTGTTTCGGTCAGAAGAGATTTCCGCTTGTCACCTCGTAAAACTTGGGAAGTAAGAAAATGAATACACATCTTAAATTGCTGAAAACATTTGCTGATAGTGGTTTCCGGATTAGAGAGAATTTGGACCAGATAAGGAATGAAAGAGTTTATTCGGATGATAATGTGGCTAAGCTTGGATCGAATAGTGGAACGTGGTAAGACGGGGAGGCTGCACTTGGATACATCGTCGTTTACCTGGGGCAGTGGAAGAGGAAAGGGCAGTTCGATGGGAATTCTTCTGATGTGACCGGGTTTAATTCGTGCTGCTTCACGAATAATCCATTCAGTGATGCGAAAGATACTTGGCAGACCTCGTGAGAGAACTTCGTGTTCTTTCTTCAGAGGATCAGTGAAATTACCAGGGGGAAACGATAAAGGAAAGTATGAAAAACACTGAAGGACAAAGTGAGAGACCGTGTTCGGTTTGACGGTAATAAAAAGTCCAGCTTTCATATTTGGCAATACAGACTGCACAGTTTCTTTATGAAGTTTGAAACGTGAGATGAAGCCTCAAATTTGCATTGGTAATGATTCCTAAATATTTCACAGAACCCACTCCAGCTTGTGGTTTTGCAAAAATCACTACCAGGTCATAGGAAAAAGTCCAACCGAGAACGAATAGGTATGCGTTCCAAGCAGCTGGAGAAATTTAAGTCTAACCCGCATACAACTGAGAAGTCTTACTACAGATTACTGTAAAAATGATCGAAATCCTGGGTTTCAGAAACTGATTTATAGGAAGTAACATTATCATTATATTTAAATTGTTCTTGAGAACTGGTTACCAGGTCACTGATGTAAGCAGAAAACAAATCAAGAGAGAGGGGATAGCTCCTCAAAGCACTTTCGAATTATTCACCAAAGGTTTTGTTTGTTTTGAAAGCTACTTGTCTGTACTGATTTCTTTTGGTGAGATAATCAGGAAAAAGTGCCTGTAGGGTATAGGACAACAACATCGATCCAGTTTACGATGGAATAGAATCGAAAGCAGAGAAGTATGCTACATAAGCTTATCATGCAGACTTCGCTGATGCTCCCATGGATTTGGTTATTTGATGACCTACGGAAGCGAAAACGTCCACAGTGGAGCTGTTTTTTATAGGTACACTCAAAGAGGTCGTCAAGAAAATTTATAGAGATGGGAACTCGAGTGTTTAAGGATAGGATGCTTTGTCAGTTTGAGACCAGATAAAGGTAAAGCAATCGGATGAAAGCGTTCAGTTGAAACACCAAAATAAAAAAATTCAGTTATGGGAAAAGTAGTGACGGGTATCCATCGATTGGAAATAGAATATGATACAAAGATTTGAATAAACTTGAAGCAAATACGTCCGCCAAAATAACAGCACAGTGTATCAAATATATAACTAGCATGGGCCATCAGGATCAGTCCCTGAGGTTAACGTAGACGTACAAAGTGGCTTAAAATCATCTCCTCCGGAAAACGAGTCTATAATTACACGGTCTTCCAGAATGAATGAAAATGAGTAGTTACTAAATGGACGAACGAAGGCACTGTTTATACTGACAGCGTTTGTAGTGCACTTCATTAGCTTGGATTTCCTTTTACGTAGAAACCGAAATCATTAATATTGGTGGCTAGTGTTTCGGCTAGTCAGGGGTTGACTAGCATACAACATGTTGATGCATTTCATTTCCTTCTTTATTAAACCGGAAATACATCTTCGCTTCTAACTATTCCGGGATTTGTAGGAATGTTCCTTCTATCTAGTAAACACGTTGAAGATTAAACCAACAACATACCAAGTGTTTGACGTTGCTATTCAATGAATATTTGAAAAAAACCATGAAGATTCTAGGGAGAATGGCATTTCGAGAGAGGCTTGTTGTCAAGGTATCTTGCTTCACCAGCAGAATCGGTAACCGTGCCTACAGAATGTTGAATAAGGATTCACATGAAGTCTGAACTGGTTTGTTCGGTATCAGCTTTAGCAATATTGAAGTTAGCTAATTTCTGCTGATGGGGCTTGAACTACATACCTTGGACTTAATTAACCATGACAACGATCAACATCGCAAACTGAATTAACTTATCATTTCTCTTAATCAACCATTGTCCCTACGGTTATCGCGTAAGTGCTCAAAATACCATACTTGAAAGTGCTGACACTCGTACAGCACATATGATCCCACTCTTGAAGATATCGGGGATCAACCGATCAGCTCGGCTGCCTTTCAGAGTCGGTTAACAGACATCCGGACTGCGCAGGGCTGGTGAAGCACACATCAAAGCAAATCCTTAGACTGAAAGCCTTGGGTTCGAATCTCGTCATTTCTCATCCGGTGGCCTCTAATAGGCTGCAGTTCCATTCCTGAAATACTGTTGCACTTATGCACAATTATTAAAAAGAAGCGAAGTATTCTCAATAATGATTTCTATCACCATTTATGGGTTCTATCTGGTTTGCTAGTATCCACGTTCAATGTGATGCTTTGGCATGATTCGGATCCTTGGTAGCGAGTCTGTTCGTCGCTTTGATTCGTTCCTCAGTAGCTCATGTGATACGATCCACTAAAAAATTGGGCTAGCATTAAGTCAGAACAATCAGTTTATTGCTTTTGGATGCTGAGGTATGTCCACGAAGTGCTCCAGAATAATTTGCAACAATGCCCAAAGATTAGCTTCGCATGCCCCACAAGAAAATGAATTCTATAAAGTAAAATATTTGAGTTAGTGCAAATTGTCTTTTTTGTTAGACGAGATAATTTGCCTGATAACTTGCATCCAGATTTGCCTGGACAAATATCGGCAGGTCCTTGCGTTTTACCATTTGCCTTTATTGATCATCATTCTGGATACATTTTATTCCTCAACTTTATTCTCTTCTTCACGTGAACTGAAGCTGGCAGTAAAGCACCCTCTGGTAAGTTTTCGTAAAGAAGTTTTGTTTTTACTAAGCAATTTTGAAACTTGTCTATTTTCATGCACTTAGAAATAGTCACGATTTAAACCGAGTCAGTATGACCAAACAGATATAGAAACGAACTAGTAAGTAAAAACAGCTTCTTAGTTTTGACAAATTATTTGTGGCTACTTGAAAGTGCACATAACTCCGAGGCAAAAAAATGGAACAAATTGTACACTGATGATTAGTTTCTAATAAATATGAATATTTTACCGATTTTACTGAAACTGTGAAGCTGTTCTTTAAACGCAAAGTAAGTACACTCTTAGCTGTTAACGTTTATTTGTGTTGACACAGCACGATCCGGTGTTACACGAGACACTGATGACATAAGAAAAGCGCTCTGTCGTCGAGAGTTGACGATCTGCAGATCAATAAAAAATCGATATTTTCTAAGCAAACAGTGGAGACAAAAAACACCGCATTTAAAACATAGGGGAAAATCATGTTTTTTATTGTGGTTATCACACAGAGGTTACTTGCGGCCCATATTCACAACTTCGCTAACCATCTGGCACCCACATTTTAGCTTTTACTATTGTGAGTCTTCCACGCGAGTTGGAAAACGGTGATTTCTTCGCAACGTCGAAAATATCAACCGGATGCGATCTATTAAAGTCTGCAATTCATCGAGTGTTTTCAAATATTGGTATATTCAGTCGTAGAGGACTGGATTTGATCGTAGAAATAATCTTTACTGAACTAGATCAGGCTTGTCCGAGTAATTTTACAATAATTTCAGATTCACTGTTGCAGTGAACGATAAGTCGGTTTTACCCATATGGCTAATAATACTAGATTTCAATCTTTGGTGAACTGGGAAAAGCGAATACCTGGTGAGATTGAAATTGTGCCCAATCGTAGTAAAGATAGTTATTCATTGTGATCGGAGGCTTAGGGTATGCTTCCTCCGGTAGATGGGACAGTTTCGCGTATACAAGCTCGTTGTCTCCCACATGTGTGCATCTTGGGAATAGTTAGCATGGATAGTCAGTCCACTAATTGAGGTTTTCATATAAATAAAGTTGCGCCAGCACTGGTTTTCATTGGAACGCCGAATTCCGGTTTGAGGATCAAGAGGTGAAGAATATCGCGGCTAGAGAAATCAGGATTATCATCACGCCATCCAGGTCTGTGCGGCTACCACTGTGTAGTGAGTTTATTGATCTCTCTTCTCCCGGAAGCACTCTTCACTTTTTGGAAATTAGTTTCCGCAAAGCTGGTTCTCGCGGTTACAAGAACTGGGCTATTTAACCGGCCGATTCTGACTGGCTGTCCGCCTTCTATCCCCTTGACTTGAGAGTTGTCTTTTAAGTTTGGTGGCAGCATCGAATAAACAACTCCTCAGCTCATATTCGCACTTTCGGAATCCAGCGTTCTGCACAAGCATTTAGCGAGTTGTCATCGGTGGTTAGGTCGCACTCTGTATGCCTCGATTATCACGTGGTGTTCTGTTTACCTAGTCTGCGGTTAGCTGTAAAGAACAGCATGGAGAAAACGACACGACTAGGTCTCTGTCGGTCAAAGTGTTGATGTCGAAACTTGCTTTCATCCATCCATCAAACTTGATCTTCTCGGGGTCTAGAGAATCTAAGCACGTTTGACTGTAAACCCTATCAATGGTGGATGCGTTGCAAAATGTTATTCTCTAACTAATGAGAAAATGGTGTCTTTGTTTTTTTCTTGTTTGCATAACGCTAAGCTTCCGCACTCTGTGCAGATTACCGATGGATATATATAGTAGTATATTATATATATATATATATATATATATATATATATATATATATATATATATATATATATATATATAAAAACCAGAATTGACCAGCAAGGCTTTTATAAACCTTGAAGAAGTTTTCAAAAGTGGAAAGTGGAGAGAAACGAAAGCATCATCTTACCGTTGTTTGGAATTCTTCTTTTATCATGTGGGTCTCTATATTTTTGTTTTGTTGATGACATCATGCTTATCCTCGAGACAGGTTTATCCAGTCGATGCGCATACGTTTTTATGATAATATAAAAAAATATTTCTGCCACTGGTTTCTCTGACAGCATCTTTTCTGTGACTATAGCTCGACACGCGGAGGACTACAGGAAAAAGGGAGATATGCCTCATGAAGAGGAGACAAGATTTCGAAAGACCCAAAAAGTGATAATTGTGCGCGAATACGAGGATCATCGATGACTACAAAACAGCCGTATGCTATTGTGTTCTGAGATTTGCAATACTTATCTCAAGTTTTTATTTCAGTTTTCATTTTCATTTCCATGAATTATATTTCACCGAAATTAAATCAGTTTTTACAAAATTACATTTCTTCATGTTATTGCCGCGTTATAAATGAAAAGGATGACTGAATCTCGGAAAATGTAAACAGTGGCATTAGGACTCAGAGGGCAGCTTCGTTAACCGAACCCATCTGGGAGTAGCACCCGCAAACTGTGATTGTTGGTCTTGTGGAAACATACAACTTTTAGTTCTACGTAAGTGAAGGCGCGCTATAACGTGGATTAAACATCAGCGGGCCAACATCAATGCGATTCGGTTGTAGATTGATCATTCAGTTACCTGATGATCTGATCAGCGGCACATGACATAAGACTGTATGTTATTTCGTATTATATATATATATATATATATATATATATATATATATATATATATATATATATATATATATATATATATGTCTCTGAGTCACTATGGGTCGGCGGGGTTCAGTGATTTTCACATTTTTCGAACATTTAAGGAACTTCATGAGGATGAAGCTGTTACAACAGGTTTCCATTTTTTTCAATACTGAAGGTATCTTGTTCGCCGTGGGTCTTGCTTTTTCTTAACTAGCCTGTACCGGATTGACGGCAGGTAAATAGATGTTAAAAACTAGCTCTGAACATATTTCTCTGTGTAAAGTTAAAATTTCTTGGGTAGGTCTGCTTATCCGTGGTCAAGGGAATGCAGCTAGTTGAATCCTGTCCAAGGGTGTCAGGGTGAGTTATTGTCCCAAATGACTGCAAATTCCAGCAACACTGGAGATGGTATTGATATTTATCCACTTTACAGAGCCCGTCATTCTAGTGAACATCTTGCCAAAACAAGGAGGATGTTATATATATATATATATATATATATATATATATATATATATATATATATATCCACTAGGATCTAATTTGAATCGTCTGGAGTGTGAATGGATACTCTTCATTGAAGAGTCCACAAATGAATCACAACTGTGATTTCTTATATTTATTCGTGTCTGGGTCACTGCTTGCACATGCAGCCTCGTTTTTCGTTGGGTTAGCAGTGACCCAGACACAAATAACTATGACAAATCACAGTTGTGACTCACTTGTGGACTCACTGATAAAGAGTATCCATTCATACTCCAGAAGATTCAAAATAGATCCTAGTGAACATATAACATCGGAGTGTACAAGTATGAGGACGAGTGGGCAGAGGAGTACCGGGTACGCATACCTGATGAGCGGAACAACCGCAAAACCGTTCGTCTGCTTCCGGGGAAATTTTGCCCACACGTTTACATATTACTTACTATCAATATATATATATATATATATATATATATATATATATATATATATATATATATATATATATATATATATATAAGTCGTCAGATGAATGTGTGAACGTGAAAGGAAGAATTATTGTGTGCTTTGACATAAAACTAGACAGGAGAAAGTTATTACGACAAAAATGTACAATTATAAATGTTTTGTGACAGTTTCTAAATGTTTCTATCAGCAATAATGCTACACTTTTGACGAGCTATTCGCAAGCGTGATGGAAGCAATCAAACGTGAGCAATAAGCAATGCTTACGGTGTGAAAAATAAGAACGATTGGGGCTGACTTTCTCGACCTCGACATTCAAAAATTTCACGAGTAAATCGCATACCCTGGAACGGCGCTTATATTCGGCCTGAAGTTAATGCCAACAAAATTTGAGTTTTAAGTAGGCTGAATTGGTTACAGATTGATATGTTGGGCAGCAGTGAAGTAAAAGTTTAAAAACTGAAGAAGTTACAAAGGTAATATGTAGCTTGTTCATTTGTCTTAGAGAAACTCATTAGCCGCTTATCTCACGGTCCTCCAAGTTTGATGCTCGAGTTCGATACGGTACTCGATCAGTGCCCTTTCTGAATGATCTTCCACTGTCCCTGACGAAGCAGATGTACAATGAGTTCAAGGATTTACATTGTTTACTTGAACGTTGAACTATTTTGCAAATAGTAGGGCTTAATGGTCTATATTAGTGCTTTATTTGAATGAGTTGATCTAAAATTATTGCCTTGATTACGGAAGATTTATTTATCAACCAGTGAGATAATCTGCCTGAAAGTGACTTACAAGGTGAAGCTTTTCGCTGAGTATTAAGGGGCAATGTACAACTAAGTGGTTGTCCACGAGCATCAACATGAAGCTTAAAACATTCATCCCGTGCAACTTGATGTATACTCGAAATGTCGACTACACTGAGTACAACTCTGAAAAAGAGGATGTTTAATCAACAATGGTAATCTAACTTCTGTGGTCATGGTACTAGCCTAAGCGGGCTTTTGGGAATCTCGCTGACCTCCTCTAAGGTAAATCATGCATGCATTCATGCGTATTTTGTTTGGTCACTCACACCAGTTGCTCACGTTGTCCACAATCCCCACCACGAGCATCACACTCTTCAGTGGTACTCCGAAACATCATCGTGGACATTGCTTTTGCTATAAAGAACAGAACAATTTTGTTCCAAAGGTGGGGAGACATAAGTGAACCCTCAGTCTATGAAGTGACTGTTTTTCGAACAACCAACCGGCGAGATTATTTGACCAAGTAATAACGGAACTGAGCCAAAGGGCTGGAAAGCATAACATGAAAAATCTGGCGCCGGGTAGTTTTGTTGATACAAATATATCACTATCGATTAACATGAATCGTCTAATTCTGTTCCGTATGGAGCATTCTTTTCCCGAAAACTTGCTAGAAAGTTGAAAAACAACGTGAAAATATAATGTCAAAATCACGGCGTTGTTGGTGGAAAAATTATAGTTAGCCTACTTATCGGCTAATAAAAAGCTGTCCATGGACAACCGTTGAATTTTACATTGTATTTTCCCGCCCAACCCATCACATGAAGCATCGTTTTTCCCGATACAGTCTGAACCTGATTTGTTCCTGACATACTGCGAAAACCAAAGTAGTGATCTTGCACGATTTATTCCCGGAATCACTACAGTACATCCCGACTGGCGCCCACTAAAGGGAAAAAGCACCTTTACCTGTCACCGTCTGCATAATAAATACTTCACTTGTTGTTCTGCCCCAAAGGCCATATTATTCTAGTCGGGCTGACGAAGGAATCCATTTGCTAACGTGCGATCAAATGGGGTTCATTTCTGACAATCATAGTTAGGGCTTACTTCGAAAACGGTCAATTGCCAGCTTCTGCCAGTGGTACTCTACAAAATATATGTTGATAACGACTTGATCATCGCACTAAAATACTGCTGGATCCATAAATGTCCTTAACTACCTGAACAGACTGCACAAAACTTCACATTTGAAGACGAGGCCAATACTCGATTACCATTTTCTCGTGTACGTATGACTGTGGAGGATGACGAATCGATTTACCGACCAAAATGCACCTGGACAAGCTAATACTAGCATGCCTAAAAAGTGATTCCCAACCAGAACAGACGTGGTCTTTTCTTATCGAGCTAGACGAATAAGCACACAAGACACTCCTAAAATGGAAATGACTCAAATAGGAAAGACTTTAAAGGCCAGTGGATAACTATCTGGATTCATCTGGAAACACGGGAACCCAGTCTAACCAAAGAACTCAATGATCTCAGTTACGACCTAGAGTTCAACTAAGAACTTCACTGAAAGGGAGACGACGTTAGTCAAATGGTGCGTAACCGGTTGGTAGCCGCCTTGCTAGTTCTCCGATTCTTTAGGGTCCAGATATCAATCCCCGGATATCAATCTCCCTTGTCCCTTCAAATCACGTTATCTATGAAGTCTATTGTGATTGTGGAGCAAACAATGTACCTTGAACAGGCTATGAGAAGTGTGAGTAAAATACGTGTCATTTAATATCCGTTGCATTGTGAAGAAGTTCAAATGGAAGAGAAGATTGGTTTCCAGTAATACATTCCCAGGCTGTTTACCGATTGCATGGGATCCACTAGACAAAATTCATGCGGATAGAAATGCAGTGAATAGGAATCTTGGATGGCCGTTTGTCACCGTCAAATTATCCTTGCCGTGTGATTGATTTGTCTAGCTTTAACCCTTTGGGTAACAGGAAGATAAATACATACGGCTCTAATGTATCTTAGGCCACGGAATTTGGAACGTCTGAACCAAACACTTTTAGGAACAATGTTCAGGGGTCAGCTTCCTAGATCTATTAGCCTCGGCTATGGTTAAAGCTTGCAGCTGAGCACCCTTACATTCGTTTTGGGGGACACAGTACACAACTTTGAAAGCCGTATCCGGATTCCCCCAATGTCCGTAGTCAACTAGGCGCGCTAAGATTACCTCTTTTTTTAGATCTGGTCTGTCCTTGGCTTAACTAGAGTGGGTTTTGGTCTTTGATCCGAGTGGACAGATGTCGTGTCTTTTGACCTACATAAGATTTTCCACAAACGCGTCTGAAGGGTCATACAACCATTGGCAAGGACAGGATCGGCAGTTTGTCCTTGTTGTGATTCCGGATCAGAGAAGTATTTCGAAACAAACGATACAATGCGGCTGTAACTAACGTGCTTGGAATTTCTCTCTTCAGCAGTAGGTTTGGGATTTCGCTAACAGTATCACCTTTGTATCGCTAGCATATATCGAGGTCCTTCTTACAGTTTCATCAGCAGCATCTTGATGAGGTTTCTCCTTATAAACAGACCCTGATAGCTATTCTTACGCAGAGTGTTTCTTATGAGAATCATTTTGTTTTTTGAAGTATCAGCGGAGCAAATTTTCCTCGCTCTGAAGGCTAAAGGTTACGCAAATTTTCACTGTTCTTCGATACTAACGAGGCTGTTGTTTGTTTTTGTTATACATTTGGCTGGGTCCGAGTATCTTTCATTCTCGTTAGAGTTATATCATGGAATAAAAGTTGGAAAACGTTATGCTTAGTGCGCCTTGTTAAACCTAGTTTGC